GGTCCCAAATAGGACTACCGAATTTGGAATCATCCAGTGTGTTAAATTTTGCAGAATATTTTACATTTTCAATGATCATTACCATGTAGTTTGCTAAAGTTACTGGCTAAAAATAACTATTTTCTAGATAATATTCTGAGTTGTTTAACTGTATGTAGGTGAAATAACATAACATCTCAGGAAAAGTTTGCCAACTCAGTAACTTGCGTTTCTCACTTGGCACGGAAAAAAAAAATTATCCTTTTCACTTCGTTAGTTTCTCTTTTAAGGCTTGGACCTTTCAGAGCCTCAGTTCTGCTTGAAGAATGTTAAAGTGTCTCCTCTTGATTTCATGCGGCTTTTCACAAATTCAGTTAATTTCCTGAATCCCTCAGCCAGCCCGTCCCCTGTGATGGCACAGCAGGGTTGCACATACCAGTTCCGGTCACTGCAGAGCTTCTTCACCCTCAGCATTCTGGTGATGTCCTCGGCAGGCAGAGCTCCAGGCAAGTCCTGTTTGTTGGCCAGTAGGACAACAGGCACGTTTTTAATGTGTTCATTCTTCAAAATGTGCTTAAACTCTCTCCGAGAATCTTCCAGTCGCTGTTGGTCTGTACTGTCCACAACATACACCAGCCCATCAGTGTTCTCACAGTAATAATCCCAAACAGTTCTCATTTTTTCCTGTCCTCCAACATCCCAGACTGTGAGTGAAAGATTCCTTTCTAGCTCGATCATCTCCACATTGAAACCTATCGTTGGGACGGTTGTAACATCTTCAGCAAGCTTTAATTTATAAAGGAGAGTAGATTTCCCAGCTGAGTCAAGTCCCAGAAGAAGAATTTGGGCTTGCTTGACTTTAGGGTTTTTAGAACTCAGCAGACCCATCTTATGCTCTTGTTTTTTCTTTAAAGATCTTTTTTTTTGGCCAGAGACAATGTGTCCTTTCTGGGTCTTGCATGAAAATATTAGGAGGAAAGAAAAGAGCAGATGCATCATCTTATATTCTAAGAACAGGAACCTGCTTATATTTATACTGTAGCTTATCAACTTGATTATGAGCAAACAGTATTTTATTTGCAGTCCCAGCCAATCCTGAGGATCTGTGGTGTGAGTAACCACCAATGTCGTGGTGGCTCAAAGGGGAAATTCTTTGTGAATGAGTAGGATTAGAAAGAGCCTGCCTGGGTGATTCCGCAGTTTTGTTCTCTTTCAGGTGCTAGAAATCTGGAGAAAATCAAAGTTTCAGGCATGCACAGCATGGTTTGGCAGCAGAATAAAAACTTAACTTTCTGTCTTAATTTAACTAACTTTTAACCTAAATTTAACTAAACTTTTTATAGATCCTCTCCAGTTATTTGACTATTTATCTTATCCCCATTGTAAATAAGTAACCAGGCTTCTTAAGTCATGAAGCGAGAGTTTATCTCACACTCCCTCTGCAGTACCTTAAATACTTTCCTCACATCCAGATTACTCAGTAGGAAACTTTAAACCACCCAAGGTTATTTGAACCTTACTCCCATATTCCCATAGAAAATCACTTCTTGCATCTTCCAGGCAGAGAATTTACACTACTGTGTTCACAAAACCAAATTTACAGGGGGAAGTTTGTAACTCGAATACTTTTAAATTAAGTAGATAGCGTGATTAAAGATGGCAAATTGAATACATGTGTCTTCTCTCCTTCCCAAGACTCCACCAAAATGATGGTAAAGGGATTAAAAGAACATATAAATCCATAACAAGAAGAGCAAGAGAATCCATCAGAGGGTGTGAATTTTTTTTTTTTTTTTTTT